CGGGAGATCCGTCAACTATGCTTTATTTCCGAGTTCACTGTGAATCTCAGACACGTACATGGGCCGGAAAATGCTGCTGCTGATGCACTATCCCGCATCGATGCCTTGTCGACCCAGCCACCACTAGGCATGGAAGAGCTAGCAGCTGCCCAAAGCAACGATCCTGAGCTGCATCGTCTTCGCTCTTCATCCACGTCTCTATCGTTCACGGAGTGCCCTCTTTCATTTTCTACCTCATTAATAACGTGCGAAACGTCTACTGGTGTCCCTTGGCCCTTCGTGCCTTCAGCTTTTCGTCGTGCAATTTTTGATCAATTGCACAGCATGAGCCATCCTGGTATTCGTGCAACCCAGAAGCTAGTCACATCTCGTTTCCTTTGGCCAAGCATCAATGCTGATGTCCGACTCTGGGCGCGAACCTGCCTTGAGTGCCAGCGCGTTAAAGTTCACCGTCACACTGTCACAGCAACATCCCCGTTTCGGCCTCCAGACGCAAGGTTTTCTCACGTTCATCTCGACATCGTCGGTCCTCTTCCGTCATCGCAAGGAGCCTGTTACCTGCTGACATGTGTGGATCACTTCACCAAATGGCCGGAAGCGTTTCCCTTTTGCGACATTACAGCACAACAGTTGCCAAGGCTTTCACAAACGGCTGGGTGTCGCGCTTTGGATGCCCTTCTGTCGTCACCACTGATCGCGGTCGTCAGTTTCAATCGGCCCTTTTCGCCGCACTTGCCAATATCCTGGGCATTCGACACATCCACACAACTGCCTACCATCCTTCCGCCAGTGGCATGGTCGAACGGCTTCATCGACAACTGAAAGCTGCCCTCACTGCTCACCAGCCAAGGGAACGTTGGCTCGACCACCTCCCCTTCGTACTTCTGGGCATCCGATCAGCATTGAAAGTGGATCTCGGCTGCTCATCAGCTGAACTAGTCTATGGCGTTTCCCTGCGTCTTCCAGGAAAATTCTTCGAGCCATCATCGCCACCTTCCACTCACGATGCCTCCACGTACATTCGAGAGCTGCGCACCACGTTTCGGGACCTTGCTCCTGTGATTCCTGCCGACTGACACCCCCACTCTGTCTTCGTCAGTCAGGATCTGCATGACTGCAGTCACATCTTCGTTTGGCGTGACCAAATATGGCCACCACTTACACCAACCTATGATGGCCCATTCCGAGTACTCCATCGTACACCTAAGACGTTCACGCTGAACATCAATGGCCGTGAAGGCGTCGTGGCTGCTGATCGACTGAAACCTGCGTATATCGCTGCTCTCACGGCCGCCCCGGGGTCTCAATCTAAAGTCTGGATGCCAACATCCAAGCATGTCCACTGTGCGACTCCTCTGGTGATTCCTACGGCTCTTGCTCTACGGGGGGGGGAGCTTTGTAGCGCCTCAATGCGCCGCTCGTCAAGGAAGAAGTTGGCATTTGGGCCGCGCGGTGGGTGCAGCGCGATAATAAAGAAAAAATCAGTTCGAAAACTGAACGCTGTCAGGGCTGGATCTTTCCCGTGTTAGCTCCGACAACCTTCTCCTTGCTGCCCCAAACCCGTTGGTGGCCCCTCAGCGGAGGTTACCTCTTCACTCTCGTCCTTCCTCAATGTGCCTGCTTGGCATCACGCGCCGCCTCCGTGCTGCTCACAGATTTGTTCTTGCCCTGTATACTGACTCAGCCTTGGTCTGGGTCTCTTGGTCAGTGCAGTCCTCCATCTCATCGCTGTGTTTGTTTTCCGGCATGTTTTTGTGAATGTGGGCTCCTGTAACCATGAAGCTCGTCAGTTGCTCCACACAAATCGTTCCGATCTCTGATATGATTCCATTTAGCAGTTTTTCTATCCCATCATCCTCTTTTTCTTTCTTTTCTCCATGCACACCTTGAGGGAGTGAACTTCTAGGCAAAGTTCTCCTTGGAATTCATCAGACTGTTTTACAATCTCCTTGCCTTCTTTAGACATTGTTTACAAAGTAGTCTTGCTGAGTTTGTAAGGCTGGTCTATTTACAATGAGCTGAATAGCAAGTATCGGCCAGTACTGCACGTAGTTCTCTCTTCTTTATTCATTATTGCTGTTATCGCTGCTGCTCCTTCTTTATAGATTAGATCCACCAACAATACAATGCCCAGGTATCAGAAAGGCAATCAAATACTGTGTTTGGCAGTGGTGTTTTAGAAGCAGGCAATAACGAAAGAGTAATATTTTAGCCTACAAGTATGCAAGGGCTTGGTTTAGCGGTGTACAAGTAGTAGCACTGCAAAACGAAAAGAAAATATCTTAACAGGTGTTATGAAACGTTGACTGTGTGACATCCGACAGGAGACGAAGTCCAAGTTCGGCCTAGAGAAACGTGACAAGCCACTGGTTTTCACGTGCAAGCGCCTTAACGTGTAAGTCTCGAGGGACTATCACTGGCACATCCTGTAAGCACACCACACAGACGTTGTACAGCAAGAAGCTCATGATGTCATTTCGCAAGGTTACTTGTTTTAATGGTTCAAGCATCACCACAACTCATGTGGGGCAGTGGGCAAAGTTCGTTCTTCTAAAGTGATAGTGGTGGTGCGCATTTCGATAAAAACCAAATTCACAGGCACGGCAGAGCCAGCAACTTCCTGAATAGTCCTTAACTTGATGCTAGCAATTTTTCCTGTTGCTTCAGAGTGAAAGTGGAGCCAGAGACGCTTTGGAATGCCCCTTTCATCCTGTATGTGCTTCAGTGAGCCCACCGCTCCATTGATCAAGCCATCAGACACGTCAATGTTTAATGAAAGCATGTTAAGCTTGCCTAAACAAAGTACATGCTTTGCTCAAGAATGTTTCTTTTGGGTCCACTGACAGTGAGCACTCGTAAATGAGGCGCCGTTAGTGAGTTCACGAGTGGCATGGCCTAGCTCCTTAATGCAGCCCGCTGAGGAGCAAGGGGTCACTGGTCTGAACCTGTGATGGGTGCCTTGGAATTTTTTTCTTCTGTTTTATTTTATTTGGGCTTTTTATATGTGATATATTTGACAAGCACTCTCAAATCATGACAGGTAGATTGCCACTATCCCTCAAGAGAAAAGTATATAACAGCTGCATCTTGCCGGTACTTAGCTATGTAGCAGAGACCTGAAGACTTACAAAGAGGGTTCAGCTTAAATTGAGAACGACACAGCGAGCAATGGAAAAGAAAATGGTAGGTGTATTTTTATGAGACAAGAAGAGAGCAGAGTGGATCAAGGAACAAACCGGGGTTAAGGATATCAGTTGAACTCAAGAAGAGGAAATGAAAATGGGCCAGACATTTAGTGCGTAGACAGGATAACCGCTGGTCATTAAGGGTAACTAACTGGATTCCCAGAGGAGGCAAGCGGGTTAGGGGGAGATAGAAGTTTAGGTGGGCAGATCAGGTTATGAAGTTTGCGGGTATAAATTGGCAGCAGCAAGCACGGGACCGAGTTGACTGGCGGAACATGGGAGAGGCCTTTGTTCAGCAGTGGACGTAGTCAGGCTGATGATGATATCCGGGACTTGACGGCGAAAATAAGCCGAGGCTGTCCATATAATTTCTATTGCAATAATGAAAAAAGCAAGATATGAAAGAATAAGTGAATGAATAAGCTTCAGGTGCAGGCACTTCAAGAATGGGCCTGGACACAGTGCATGACCAGGGTTCAGAGCTCAAAGGGGAGAGGACTTTCTCAGAGCGGGGCAGCCAGGAAATTCAAGGCGGCACTTTCTTGAATTTATACTGCCACACGCGTTTGGTACTTTACCTTTTGTTTCATTCGGTTTTCGCCCACAAGGCCTGCCCAGAGTGCTCAGTGCAAACTGTGCCTCATTATTCGACAAGGTTCGCTGTTATTGCTGATAATTTTGTTAAGATTGCGTTCCGAGCACATCGAATGCTTGAAAAATGTCCGCAGTCATGCGTGAGTCATTCCACTAAATGGCAGCTTGTCACACACCAGAAGAGTGAACAAAACATTGTGAAACAAAGATGCTTTAGCACCCTTCATTCCTTCTCAGAATAAACGGATGACGCACACTTGTTTCTAAATCAGCGTGTATCGTTACTGAAACATAATAAAATAAAACAACATATTGAATGAAATGTAGGCACATGCAATTAGCTACGATAAAGCTCGTTGCGTGAACGTGGCTTCTGTGTGAAGCGTATGAGTTGCCTTTGTTTGGTAAACTGCTACTAGCGAAAATGTTGTAAAAACTTCCTTGCTTCAGCGTGCAGCAATTTGAGGGAACACGAGTACAAAAGCTATTGCACGTCCCCCTTGCTCAGGAAGGAGAACGCCAACATGTGTTTCAGGAGCAGTAGCCGGAGCACATGCTGGAAACGTCATCAGCTTGAAAAAATAACAAGGGGCAAAGTTCACGACTTGTCTTTCTTTTTTCAGCATTCTGAGTTCCTCTGTGTGTGTAGCAAGGGACGCAGCAATACGTTGGCATTGCGATTCTTTACACATACACATGCACAAATACACGCGGACTGTGCGTACTGCGCCGTGCTGAGCCTCTAACATGGTGGCTATGCACACAACAGCCAACATATGGCAGCAACTTTGCAGAAGGTCGATTTACTGTAGAATATATTAAACAAAACTCACAAATGGCAACCTTGGCATTCAAGTGCTGCACTCCTGTACATATTTCTCAATAAACAAAAGCTGCTTCAAACGGATTCTTTGAGGTTTCATCTAACGTAACTCTGTTCTGTTGGATGTTTGGGGGATATTAACATTGAAGTGGCTGTGAACTAGTCAAGCTGTTTCAAAACATAGCTTTTTTTCGCAGTCCTTTCTGTAATATAGAACAGAAAATAAACTTGGATTTGATTTGATTTGAAGTAGTGTTGCTAGGGTATCTATTTATTTAGGGAAATTTTGATAATTGCGATTATGTCAAATATTTTTTTATAAGAAACTAGTAATGAAATTTCACTGCTTGTGATTTATAGTGGGCTTCAGAGCTCACTGAATTTGTCTCTCTGTGCAGAGATGTTCCAGCTGGATGGCTTTGAAGAAGATGAGGCAGCTTTTCCATCTTCCGAAGAGGAGCACTCGGATGGTGAGGGAAAGATGGTTGGCGAATCGTCAGTGGGGCAATATATTAATCAGCTTAGTTTCGCATGTGAATACGCTTTGCATTTTTACTTTACTATATCTCAGTTCATTCACCCGACCGCACAGTCGGTGTTGTAGTGCAAAGTGAACACCAATGAGAGGCTAACTGCTTTCATTTTGGAGTAGCTTTTTCACTCGATTGCTGCAGAATCGCTTATGTCATTTCATGGGCTGAGTAAAGAAATGATGACTTTTACAAACACAAGCTTTTTTAAAGTTAATAATGACTGTTAGGACTTAACATACCGAAACAACAGTGTGATTATGAGGGACGCCACGCCGGAGGTCTAGGGGAATTCCGATAACCTGGGGCTGCTAATGCTGACATTGCACAGTACATAAGCCTTCAGCATTTGGCCTCCATCAAACATGGAGCTGCTGTGGCCGGGATTGGATCCCACAACCTTTCAGTTGGCTGTCGACCATCATAACCATGTGCCATAAAGTTAAGAATATTCTTGATGGTAAGTTATTTTTGAATGCTAGAAAAAAACACATTTTATCTTGTGGGAGAAATAAGGTTTGGATTTGACTACACAAAGATGAGGTTGCGGTGCTCGTCTTTGTCACTTCCACGGGTTCCTCTTTTTCTTTTCTTACTGACAGACTGTCTGTTTGAGGCTGTGGCATTTCACATTTCTTGCTCATTCAGATTACGTTTTTAATCCTGTCAAGTTGGTTGCTTATTAAAGTAAGCTAACTTCCACACACTCCTTCTAAAACATATATAAATAATGACACTGAGTCACATTATAAGTAGTGTTTCATTTTGCTAATAAGTTAGGCAGTAGGTACCCAGAGCACATGTGACATCAACTTTACGACCTTTTAAAAATTTTTTCCCTTTAAAGGGTTCCTGAAACGGTTTTTTCACATTTTATTTTTGATTAGACCACTATTTGAGCAAATCATTGGCACCAGAGTTCAATCAAAACATCCATTAATAATGGAGCTACGAGTACTAAAAATGTATCCTCTTCCTCCACCCCACCTTACACCCTCAACTGCCCTCAACTCCTGCTTTGAGCGCTCGGGGCTAAGCTCCGCCTTCACAGTGCCTGCATCACGATGTGGTGCGAGAGCACATACTCATGAATTCCGCTGATGATTCGATACCGGCACTCTGTGCTGCGCGTTCCATAGCCAATGAGATCAGCTGGAAAGGATGACGTCAGTGGGCAGAGCGTGTCGCTTGGTGTACGGGCGGTTGAAAACACATTTGGCCGAGTTGCAGGGATCTGGAGCGATTAGCAGCTTTAAAGCATTGTAATAAATTACACAGTTTACTCAGAGAGCTCAAATCGATCTCTGAATTATTCTTAGGACTTGGTCTACCGGCCAATTGTGTTTGTAAAGAAATTGTAAAAACCGTTTCAGGGTCCCTTTAATGCAGCTGAAGTATTCCTTCGAATGCTTTCTGCAGTTTCCTTATTTTGCGGTGATTTTGCAGGATCGGAGGAAAGTGCAAGATTTATGCTTGTCTGTATTTTCCTTATTGTTTCTATTAGTGATTTATGTTTGAGTTGGGCAGAGCTCTAGGGTATAATAATGTTTTTCAGGTGGCATTTTCTCGCTTCTCTTGGTGTCTGTTGTGAGGTCTGACACGATGAGTGCTTCTGTGTCTATCTGCTTGCTAGCATTTGCTGGTGCCTCGGGGGTATTTGATGCCTCCGATTGTTGTCTGCAACCTCTTGCTGATTTCTTATCACATCTGAATAGATGTCTTAGCCGCGGTGAGGCATGTGTTGGGCAAGTGCTCGTAGTATGTGAAGTGTGTTGTTTTGGTTCGTGGGACGGTCCGTGATACTGTGGTTGTAAACTGCCTGTGTAAACAATCATTTTTCATTCTATATGTGATGTTTATAGAAAATACTTGGGTGACCATACAGTTAGGATACAGAAGTAAAAAAAAAAAGATGTTATATTTTTCGATTTCGGTCAGATCGGTGTTGGAAGATAAAAGGTTGTGCAAAATACACGAGGACTAGAAGGAACACTTGCAACAGATGAGCGCAGTATGCTACATCAGCTCGCCCACATCGAGCTTCTTCTGCTTTAGGTTTTAATGTTGTCGTGGCCCAGTTCAATGTGCAAGAAAGAACCGTACGCAGTGCTCATGCATGAGTGTGCTTGAATGGGCAGTGAGTGATCATTTGCTATTCTAGGCAGAACTGTACATTTCCATCCTGCGACAACGAAACTGACGGGGCGGGCAAAAAAATTCGTTGTCGCAAAAATTTGTAGTCGTGATTTGAGAAAAAAAAAAAAAACACATATGAGTCACGAGACTCACTGACGCAAAAAAAACAAGATTTATTGTCAAAAATTGGTCAGTTTCGGCTGTTTTTGCATCTTGCCAAGGGTTGGTACAAAACGACTTTCGTGCGCTGCCAACAGAGTCATCGCTTCGTCATCATCCTGTGCCCCGATGCAATGTCTGATGACGTCAAATGCGTCTAGCACATGTGCAGTTGGAGGCAGCACCAAATTATGTTGCGTGGATGCGTCATCTTTGTCCCACGAAATACTGTCTTCCTGTACGCTCTTTATGATGTCTTCGTCTGTCAACTCCTCTCGCACCACCAAGCAGGAGTCGGCTTGCATGAACTCGCTCAGATGGACCTTGACCGGCCCATTACTTTCCTGCTGGTCGGCCCATGTGAGTGCGACTTCTTTATCTATTAATTCATTCTCATCGTGGTCTGTGTCGTTCTGGGAGCGTCTATCACGAAATCTGAAGTCTCGGCACATTGCAAATAGAATCCCGCATGGCGAAAGCAGTTCGCGACAACAGCGCTTTCTGTTGCGCTCCACGAAGCAGCTATCATTTGGAGCACCATAAACATGTCGATTTCTGTTTCGCGACCCAATGGGGTGTTTAAAAGCAGCCTTTGAATAAGGCGCTTACATAGGCACACTTCACGCTTCGGATGACCCTTTGGCTGAGCGGATGAATAATAGAAGTGTAGTTCGGTGGCAAAGGCTTGAGCTCTATGTTCTCGAGCTCTGCGTCGTCCACGGCATGCGTGGAACAATTCTCCAAAAGTAGGCGAACCTTTCGTACTTGCCTGTCTATGTACCAATCAAATTCCTGGACTCGGTCTCCAGAAATTGCACGTGTCATCCATGCGCGGCTTTTAGCCACGTACCTCACTGGAAGGCATTGATTTCTCTTGAAGCAGTGTGTTTCTGCACTTTTGCCGATGAACAAAAGCGGTTGTTTATCGGAGCCATTCATATCAGCACACAGTAGCACAGTTATTCTTTTTTTTTTTTTGCAGTCTACCTTCTAGACACGATGCAAAACGTGATGGAAACCAGCCAGGCTTCCTCTAATAAGGAACTCGAGTAACTGGTGAAGTTTCTACTCAACGAAGTTGAATTTCGAGAAAAGAGTTCATTAATTAACAGTTCGACAGACATCTGAAAACAGTGTCCTAGTATTCAACAAATCATTCAAGAAGCCCTCTGCGACCACTGCTGCGCTTGTTCTTCTGAACAAAACACGATCTTGCCTCTTGTCCTGCTTTTTTATGCTGCGCTACCAATCACAAGACGGAGGAGTGCACGAGTGACATCACTTTGGCGAGAAGCACAGTAAACTCGTAAGATGGTCGATGTTTCCGGTGCACGTCAAAAGGACATTTTGTCCGTGAGAGTGCAATGCCAGGCATGCAAGCGCAAACACGCCTCCTCGATGTGCAACACTCATAGCTAAGAAACACCATCATTGACTAATGCTCAAAAGAAGGCGAATGCTACTGTGAAAGTTTCCACCCAGAAAGCTTCAGCTCCCCAACCCATCAATGATGTTTTATTCCAGATATTTTGAGCCTGGATAACCACTTCGTGACGTTGTGGCTATGTGCGCAGAGTTCTCGATAATCGAAGCCAGCGAACGTTCATTACTGAGAGCGTCGCTGCCAAGTTGGATCGACCTGCTGTCGCCTAGACTAAAGTTGCCATCAGTGCATTCGGTACAGCCAGCGACACCACCCGGTGATTCAAAATAGTCAAGCTCATGCTCCGCAGTCAGCACGACAGCCTGACTATCCTCTTTGAAGCTATAGTGGTGCCCTATATTTGTGAGGAGATGATGAAGCACCAAGCCAGAGTCTTTTTTTTTTAAGCTATCACAGTTGTATACCTGAGCATAGATTGTGACCCAGGTGTGAGTGTCCTCATCGAATCGGACCAGCTGTGAACATTGATGTGAAGCACGAGTGAAGTAAAGTGGGACGAAGAAAATCCTGCTTTACTAACCATAGGCACAAAGTTGGGCTGAATGCTCCGGGGCCCGTTATGTGGTGGTAGAAGCACATGCAAGAAAGCACGTACCCAAGTGTGTGTACTTCGAACAGGTTGCCACAAAAGTGACGAGGTCGCTTTGCCATTACAAAGATTTCGGGGCCTTGATAACATCGGAATTTTTTACAGGCCACTGTCTCAGTGCGGCGCAGATGTTTCGAAAGAATTCCACAACTGCTATTTTTCAAGAAGGACGCTATGAAGTTGTGTTACCCCAGATATCACCAATTGTCGGCCATATCGGGAACTAGTTTTTGGAGGCTCCACAGAATCGTTTGGCGACTGCCATCAAACAACGAAGCCATGAGAGCCTGCAACAAGGCTATCTGGCAATGGATGGTCATGCTGAAAAGATGGATGGTCATGCTGAAAAAGATGGAAAATTTCCCTTCTCGCAACGAACACCTTATCGAACTTGCCTCATTGTCAAAGGACAAACCACTACCCAAGGCGCCCGGTGATCTGCATCTATTCCTGCAGAGTGACGGGATTTTGAGGATCAAGACCCGGCTTGGCAACATTAAATCATCAGACGTTGTGAGGGGTGTGATCCTATTACCAGCTGACCACCGCTGCACATACCTCATCGTCGACAGCACACACCGGCGCCTGCTTCACAGTGGTGTAAGTAATACC